AATGTGAATATTTATTTATGTTAAAATTAATTAACTATTATTTATTATTTAAAATTATTAAATTTTTAGAAACTTACTAATCAAACCCTAAAAATACTAAAAACCCCCTATAAAATTTCGTTTTGCCCCCAAATATAAAAAAATTTGAGGGGGGAAAATTAAATTTTCAAACCCCATGGGACCGGTCCGGGCCCATGGGACCAGTCGGACCAGGCCTGGTCCTGATTTTTCTCATGGGCCTAGGACCGGTCCCAGGCCCATGAGAGACTGGTCCCATTTGGGACCAGTCCCAAGGGACCGTCCTTTGCGGGCCCAGGCCTGGGCCCGCAAGGGACCGGTCCCTTGCCCAGGTATTACTCCAATATTAATGTGTTCATAAAGATTTTGATTTTCAACTCAAGAACACCAGAATTTACATGTTGGGTTGTTTCCTTCTGTTGTACCTAAGCCTAAATTCAAACACATACTATTTAGTTTAGTTTAAAGATCATCTGTTCATGGCCTATGCATGAGCATTGCCCATCCAACTAGAATTAATACTAACGATTTACCTTTTTACTGACAATGATTTTCTAGGCCACACTAGCCAATACACTAATTTTGTTTGTGTTGTGCTCCTGAACTCACTGCTGAGATTGTGTTGTGTTGCTGGAGTTCGCTTCCTGGGTAGAGTTGGTTTGTGCGTTCCTTCTTGAGCGAAAGCTTGCTGCATATGACGAACTATATGATGTTTAAGGAGTATATCTTTCAAGTCATGGGCCATAAGGACGAAGGCATCAACGTCTGTAACTGCTTGAATAGTTTTGGTTAGATAGGAAGGTCGGATGTGTAGGGATAGCATTAAACCAATCCACAAGTTCTTCTCCCCAGCAGTCACCATCTTTTAGATGCTCATTTCTGTGATTGCGACCATTAGTCCTCGAGTGTAGGTCCATAGCTTGCCTTGCACCACCAAGATCATCTCATCAATTGGGTCTCCCTCTCGGATAATGCGAGTGCGCTGACCAAAACTGGCTTTACACAATCACATAGATCCTGCATTTCTGCTTCACTCAAATTTCCAAATTGTTTCACCTATTCATATCATACAAAATGAAGTGAGAACGAGTGACAACATATATTAGTCTAATAGGTTCTCTCTCTATGCAACTTGGATTTTTTTTTTTATCAAGTGGTGTGGGATTCGAATTTTAGACATTTACCTCTCACTATGTTAAGTTATTATCCCTTAAAAGCTTAAGTTATAGGTGAGGTTCAACATTATATTAGTCTAATAATACTCGTTTGCTCTTACTAGTCCCACAAGTCAAATAAACTCACTTTTTTGGCAGATCTGCCCAGAGTTCTTGATTCAATTTTCTTTGGAGGTTATTGGGAAGACCATTGAAAACATTTTCTATATTTACACCTTTGGTTTTCCGCACAGAACATTCTCGCAATGGTAATTCTTCACCTGAGATTGTAGATCCTCATTTAGTCTTTTGAAAGCATCCACTGCTCTGTCTCTCGTGACTTCTGTCTCATCTTGGCAAATCCTTTAGTGTCAGCTTGCAGACATAACTGTTTCACGATGTGTACAGTCGGATAGAAATCCAAGTTCTCATTTATTGCTTCATTCAATGATAAAATTCGGATGCTACCTGCAATTTACCAACGAGGAAGAAAAACAACACCACTCCGTAAAGATAATAGCAATTGCAAATATGATTCCCAAGAATGAGAAATTGGTCCGATGTTCTGACCAAAACTACTGCAAAAAATTGAATTCAAATATTTTATTAGATATTAGTGAAATAAATTATTGTATTACATTTACGTAATATGCACTATATATCTTCTCTAATGCATAAGATCGTTGTTTTATGCATTAATTAATGGTTTCAATCACCTATAAGTAAACAGTAAAATACGAAATTTCAATAAAACTCTCATTTTGAAAATTAGAAAATTTTATCTTTATAATTTAATCGGTGCCATTAAATGGAAGTCAAAATCTTTCATATAGAATTTTCAACACACTATATATTCATACATCTAAAACTATATAAAAATGAAAACTAGATTTGCATAAGGAACGTATATATTAAATATAAATGCTTGTTACTATAGAATGGATAAATCATATGTAGAATATGCACAAACCTGATATTTTGCAGGCCCCATTGAAACAAATAACATCCTCGTAATAATCTGTCCCCACCAGCAGCATTCCAGAACGATGGGCATCAGAATGTTCCAAAATCATATTTCGTGGTATTTCTAGAGCAAGAATTGTTTAGCAATTTTATGTGTTCCAACTTTTATTGCAAGAGAAAATATCAGTACTGCATCCAGTATGATTTCCGCAGGCTTCCTTCCAGCATTCTGTCTCTGCGTTTATGGCTCCGTTATACCACAGCCTCCGTATAACTAAAACGCAAGCAAGTCCACGGTTGATCTATATACACACAGTAGAGAAATAATTATTTGTCTAATCTATGAAATTGAACTTACATGACCGGCAATCACGTAAAACATGAAGAACATCAAGACCACCGAACGAATGTTTCTCTCGCCCCCCCATATTCTCCTCAATGTAGACATTAATAGAAGAATCTTGGCATACGCTGCGTACTAGAACGATTTGTGCATCCAAATTATCCAGACACTCATTCTTTTAGAAATAATATATATCACCCATCACCTAGACAGTTTGGAGTCCATAAGGGAAATGAAATTATATATATGTTGGAAAATTTTATTATAAACAAAGTTTAAAAAATTTAAATTGTTGATCATGACTACCTTATTATGTATAGCAAATGTACTAAATTAACTCCCAACTAACACTGTGAGTGGACAAGAATTATGTTCAGTAATCTGTAGGGTTGATCAAACACCAAAAGGGGATCTTTTACGTAGTGATATATTACTAGCGACAGGGTGTGATTACGGTGACGTCTCCCTTAGCTCCACCGTCAAACATTTATAGAAATTAACAATCACTCATGATCTTTGTTGAGCGAGAGAGATGAAGAATAAATTAGTGTTCTCATCTTACTAATGTGACCATAACTTAAATCATCTCTGTTATTTTTCTCTTATTTTCTAATATACTTAGGTGTTCTGTTTGTCAAGTCAAAGGGTTTGTTCTTGAGCTTTTTTTTCGCTGCATAATTTGACTATAAATTGGTATTTTTGTATGTCAATCTTACAAAATAATGAAATATACAAGAAACTATAGGAACCTGAAAAAAAATAAGCAATGCGCTTTAGGCTAGAAGTCTTATCGATCTTTACAGCAAAAGTTTCTTAATATATTTGGAAAGTGTGCGTAAAAACAAATTGGAAAATATATGAGGACAGAAAGACAATGTTGCTGTAAATTAAAGTGTGTGTAGGCCTTACCTGGGGGACAGGAAGAAGGATGAGAATGTTAATGACAAGCAACACATGTTTCCTGCATCTCTTTGTAAATTTACACAGTTTGAAGATGACGTCTATAGAAGAAGAAATGTAAGATATCACTATGGTATGAGAACACAAGCGTAATATGCAATGAACCGTCAACTACGATGCACTTTTTTCATCACTCATCTCCAGAATGTAGTATAGCCAAGGATTCCAAAACTGGCCATTTAAAAGAGACACAATACAAAACTCCAAGGAAACCATCCTTCGACATAATTGAGATAACGAGTAACTCTTGAATTTCAACAGCAGAACGTTGATTAAGTTCGCTTCATCATTTCTATGTTCTCCAGCGGGAAGTTGCCCTGTCGTAACATCGCCTACATTCACAATCGCATCCGACCTGATAAAAAAATATTCAGTTTAAAAGATCGATCAGTGTCCTTTCCTACAAAATTGCCAACAAAAAATATGCCAATGAACCGTAGAAATTACCAAAATGAAAAATGAAAAGAGCCAACTAAACGTAAAGAAAGTGTTACAGTGTTTTACAAAAAAAACCATCACTTACATTGTCAACAAAAGGAAAAATATCCGTGGAAGAAGTGAAAAGATTACAATTAAGAAGCAAAATTGAGAGAAAAGGAGAAACTATGTTACTTTTTTGTATTGTAAAAGCTGAATTAATTGCTACAGATGAGAGATCTTCACGTTTTTATATAAATGGACGCAAACTTAAAGAAGAAGGAAGCAACTTAACATCTCTGCTTCTTAGCTAACAACTTAAACCAAAACGACATCATTTGGTAAATTACCAGTCGACCCTTATATTTTGACACTTTAACAACTACTACTCAATATTCTAACACTACACTTTAAACCAAGCTCTCTCAAGTGTCAAGTGTCTTAGTCAACTTCTCTCAGTATCCCAGTCAACTTCTCTTGACCTGTATTTTCATAATTATCATTCCACACTCCCCTTTAAACCAAGCTCTCCCAAGTTTCTTGAGCAGAAAAACTTCCCTGTGATTTTACACACAAAAGAAAATGTTCCACTAATAAACAACCAAGATCAGAAACGGGCACTAAATTGCTACATTGATATCAGCAATGAATAAAATGAAACATTGCTTTGTTAACGAGCAACCAAAATAAAAAAAAAATCACAAAATTTCTACCAAAAGACTCACCAAATTTTTGCACTGATAGGATCACCAAACTTCTGCACTGACACAGATATTATCATCAGACGAGCAAATTTTGATGCTGAAATTTTGATGTAAGTGCAACTAAACAACTAAGCAGCTGCTGTAACTTCGTCCCTGATGAGTAAAGAAATTCTGCTAAAGTGAAATAATATCAGCAAATCAGTTACTGTGAGACAACAGAGGAAGATTCGGCAGAACCATCAACACAAACTACATTCAATCAATTGCAAATAAACCACTAAGTAGCTGCTGTAACTTTGTCCCTGATGAGTAAAGAAATTCTGCTAAAGTGAAATAATATCAGCAGATCAGTTACTATAAGACAGCAGAGGAAGCTTAGGCAGAACCATCAACACAAACTACAATCAATTTTTGTTTGTGCTCATGAAACTGAGCAGCTGATCAATCTTTGGTCAAAATGCTAGATATTTGTAGCTTAGAAGGGACATATTGAATCACAACTTTCTTGGCTAAAACTTGGTCATGGATGTAGTGAGCATCTATTTCGATATGCTTAGTTCGAGCATGAAATACAAGATTTGATGCTAACGCACTAGCACTCACATTATCACACCATATGACAGGAGGAGAAGAAAAACTCAAGCCTAACTCAGTGAATATGGACTGCAGCCAAGCTACCTCAGTTGCTGTATGTACTAAAGCTCTATACTCAGCTTTAATAGAGGAAAGGGCAACTACTTTTTGTTTTCTAGAGCTCCATTGGATAAAATTGGGTCCCAAGTAGACACAAAAACCACTAGTTGACCTTCGATCATCCAGGTTACTTCCCCAGTCAGCATCGGCATAACATTCAACATTAAGAGAGGCTGTTGGTCTAAACAATAATCCATGAAGCTGAGTTCCTTTAATGTACCTTAAAATTCTTTTGTAGGCCTGCCATTGGAGCTCAGTTGGGTCTTGAAGAAATTGGCTCAGCTTGTCTACAGCATAGCTAATGTCTGGCCTGGTGAGAGTCAAGTATTGGAGTGCTCCTATAATGCTTCGATAAAGACTCGGATCCTTAAATACTTCACTGTCAGTGGAGAAAAGCTTAGTTCCAACTGCCATAGGAGTTGCAAGCATTGGCTTCCAACGTGTTGGTTTTGATAAGCAAGTCCACAACATATTTGGTTTGTTTTAAATGAAGACCTGCCACTGTTCTTGAGGCTTCTAGACCAAGAAAATATTGTACTGATCCGAGTGTCTTTAGTGCAAACTGAATGTTTAGTTCTTCAACCAATTGAATGATGTAAGATGCACTTGAGCCAATGATGAGTATGTCATCCACATATATTAGAACATAAGTCACTGTAGATTGTTTTTTGAGAATGAACAAACTTGAGTCAGACATTGAATTATGAAACCCCTTTTTCTAATAAGGGTTGTTTTAACTTGTCATACCAAACCCATGGTGCTTGTTTAAGTCCATAAAGAGCTTTATTAAGCTTGCATACATGAGATGGGTAGTGAGGATTTTCAAAGCTCTCAGGTTGTTGCATAAACACAGTTTCATTTAGGGTGCCATTCAGGAATGCATTGTTGACATCAACTTGCTGAATGTCCCAACCATTTGTAACTGCAAGTGTAAATATAATTCTGATTGTAGAGGGTTTAACAACTGGGCTAAAAGTCTCAAAATAGTCTAGCCCAGGAGTTTGTTGAAAACCCTTAGCAACAAGCCTGACTTTATATTTTTGCAATGAGCCATCAACATGATATTTTATCCTATACACCTATTTGTTGCCCACTATATGCATGTCAGAAGTGAAAGGAACCAGGACCCATGTATGATTCTTTTCAAGTGCATCATACTCAAGTTGCATTGCCTCTTTCCAAGGAGCACTAGCAAGAGCCTCTTTTACCAAAGAGGGTTCAGAATGGACAAAGGGTTTGCCAGTGACAATAAGAGCAGCGGTTTTAGGAGCACCTGTTTTGGTGAAGGTAATTGGTTTACAAGCACCTGTTTTAGTTCTGGTTTGCATAGGATGGATGTTGATGGAAGGTTTGGAAGTAGTAGGAATGGCAGAAAATATTGATGCAGTGAGATCAATTACAGGAGGACAAGCTGGCAGTGTATGACTAGAGTTTTGAGGCATGGAAATTTCAGGTTTGGATGATCTTAAGTCTTCTTTGGGTAGGCAACTAGGAAGAGATGCAAAAGTATTAGAGGTTAAAGGTATTTGTGGAGAGGATAGGGAAGGTGAAGTTGTGATAAAGTTAAGCTGAGAGGCAGGAGACAGATCTAATGGACGTTGGAGAGTCAAAAATTATGTAGGAGGAATTTTAGTGTTTGGGGCTACTGTGTTTTGTAAGTGAGGAGTAATGGTTGACTGAGCTGAAGCGTTTAAGGATGCTATAGATTGAGACTGATTGGTGGGAGGTATTAGAGGTTTAGTGTTTGGGGCTGTTGTGTTTTGTAAGGAAGGGTTAATAGTTGAAGTTGAAGTTTGCTTACGAACTGCTGAGTGAGGATTTGCTTTGGAACAAGTTGCTGCTGGAGAAGCTATATGACTGAACTTAGAGATATCACTGAACTTAAAAGAGTTAGGAATATTGACAAAAGGAAAATGTAAACTGGAGGAATTGGAAACAGTTTTAACTCTTGATGATTCTGAGGAAGAAGACTAAAAATTAGAAGCAAAAGGAAACTTAGACTCATTAAATTTGACGGTTGGGGTTATGAAATTTTTTCCCTCAGAACTAAGGCATTTGTATCCTTTGTGAACTAAGCTGTAGCCTACGAAGACGCACTTTGAGCTATGAAAACTGAACTTATGCTTATTGAAATCTCTCAAATAAGGGAAACAAGTACAACCAAAAGTCTTTAAAGAAGTGTACAAAGGAGGATTGTTAAAAGGTGTCTGATAAGGAGAGTTAAAATTCAAGACAGATGTAGGCATTCGGTTAATAAAAAACACAGCAATTTCAAATGCAAGCCACCAATAATGCAAAGGCATGGATGCTTGTGCTAGTAAGGTAAGTCCAATTTCTACTATATGTCTATGTTTCCTTTCGCTTCTACCATTTCGTTGATGGACACATGCACAAGAATATCTAAATTGAATGTCAGCTTGAGTAAGATAAGAAACTAAACCTTTATACTCACTTCCTTGGTCAGATTGTAAACACTTAAGTTTATGATTGAATGTCTTTCCGCTAAACGGTGAAACTTGACAAAGGTGGATTGAACCTCAGCTTTTGTTCTTAAAGGAAACAACCAGGTAAATCTACTGTAATCATCAATGAAATGAACATAATATCTATAGCCTTCAAATGAAACTGTAAGGGCAGGGCCCCAAACATCACTATGCACAAGCTCAAGAGGTTGGGCAGCTCTAGTTTGTGAAACTGGAAAACTATTTCTATGCAACTTGCCTAGTTGACAAACATCACAAAAAGGAATAGAAGACAAGACTTTTGGTGAATTTTTGTTCATTTGAGTCATAATTTTTGCAAAGGCTTCAGAATGAGGATGTCCTAGTCTACGGTGCCAAGTTAAAGCTAACTGGTCAGGCCTGTTATTAACCTTAAGTGCTAGTGTGGAGCTGGTGCAATTATTAGACTCAATATGATCAATAAGCCTATAAAGATCCTAAATAGAGGAACTTGAGGGCACTCTTGTATTTTCCCCTAGGCCAAGGGAAAATTAGGGAAACACAATAGCATGAAATCTTTGCCGTTCATCAAAATAAGCTGCATATAAACCGTCCGATCATCCACTTATCCCTCTACAAGACAAAACCCACCCTGCCTTCCGTCTGGACGCTCGGGCGATTAGGGGTTTGTACTATTCTCTCTGCAAATTTTAGATCTTTTCTAGGGTTTAAGTAGCCTTCTTTTTAAAAACCCTTTATTATGCAAAGGATCATTGAAAAGATTGCAAATTTTCAGTTGGTTTTCTTATTGTTACCTGGGTTTGTAACTGGAGATGTTGATGCTTCACTATCTGGTCAGTGTGGATACATTCAATTCCCATATGACTCGTTCCCTTGAAGCAATATTAATCGTGTTGTTTTTTGTATTTTAATATCTCTCAATTTTTTTTACCCTTTGTTTTGGGAGAACACTTGAGCAACTACATTACTTTCTCTAATTTTTGACTTTTGGGAGTAATTGAGCGACGGTGATGAGTCTACAGACCTGTAATGATTTGCGGATATGATCGCAACTCATTTTTGAACATCTAAGGGACTGAGTTACTTCTTGTTACTCCCATTTAAATCTGGTTTTATGTTAAAAGTTCGATATTTTTCTTCGTTTATGTTATGTGATTTGGGTTTTATTGTTGATGTTATGAGGCTTCAAGTTTTGATTTTGACAATAATGTTGCTTACTCTTTGTGAAGCAATGTCTACAGTGGAGCCTAACAAGTTGTTCCCCTCGCTATCCAGGGCAGCAATTTTGTGTTGCACTTGGACGTCGGGGAACTACATTTGTTTTAAGCATCTTGCGGATTGAGAAACATTGTAGGAGGATTCTCTGGTTACATATAATACCAGTTTTATGAGATCATGCCCACATCAATGTCGACGAAGGAAGAAGAAAATATGACGAATGGAACTATTTCAATAACAAAGGAATAAACAATATTAATGTCCTGGAAGTCCAATTATAAGGCTTGACATCTTACATGGTTTATAATTCTAAAATGGCTATGAAGATCCAACTCAAAGCCTGTTTGGTTTATTTAACGATTGTCCAGAGACTAATTGAGTAATTTTACGGTTGTCCAAACAACTAATGGAGATAGACCAAGTAAAATTTGGACTGGACGACCAGTTATGGCGCTGGTCATGATGCTGACACAAAAGAAAACTAGTTTATATAGAGCGTCTTCGTTAAGACGCCTAAAGAATTGTTCTAGCTTGACTCAGATTAATCTGTCATGTCAATCAGGTATATATAGCAAATTGGCTTCTTGATGTATGAAGAAATTTATACTTGATGTATGAAGAAATTTATACCTACAGGATCTGACCGTTCTAAGTATAAATGCCTAAACCAAACCAATTGTTATTTCAAGCTTCTTCACTGGTTCTCTTCCTATTTAGGCTGATTTGAACTAAATTGAGGTCATTTTTTTTTTTTTTTTTTTTTTGGGTAATCGTGGTGCCTGGAGTGTAGAGGTGGCGATGGGTTGTGTCATGTGGGGCCAAAATTTTCATGACTCACCGTATCATGGGTTGTGTCAAGATAGGGTTGTGTGTGCTTTCGCGAGCTGACTCACGTGCTGCATGGGCTTTTCTTAAAAAAATTAAATTTTTTTTTTTTTAAATTCGTGAGTTGTGTTGTGCCAGTCCACTTGCCAAATCTTAAGCCTATGGTACGGCATGGAATTTTTGCACGGTGCTAAAAAAATTGTGAGTTGTACTGGCACGGTCCATTGCCACCTCTATTAGAGTGTAGACGCATCTAAACTAATTTTCAAGATTTATTGAACACCTTATAAGTTTAAAGGACTATGTAAGTCATAATGTGATAAATGATCCCAAAGTTTTAACTAAAGAATTTAATGAAACGAGATAACCTCTTTCACCTCTAGCCAATCCCTTGAGGTTAAACCGAGTCATTTTCCACCAACTTATATTTGAAGATGCTCTGGGTCCATTCCAATTATACACTATTATTGCTTAATATAAATTCAAGTTGTTTACACTTTAATACAATACAACAGAGTATAATAAGACAACAAAATTCAATAACACTGGAGATCTGTTGGATCAAGGTTTTGAATCTGCAATGAACGGCAATAATGTGTTCATAAAGATTTTGATTTCCAACTCAAGAACACCAGAGTTCACATGTTGGGTTGTTTCCTTCTGTTGTACCTAAGCCTAAATTCAAAACCAAATATTATTTAGTTTAGTTTAAAGATCAATCTGTTCATGGCCTATGCAACTGGAATTAATACTAACGATTTACTTTTTTATTCTGACAATGATTTTCTATGGCCACACTAGCCAATACACTAATAATTTGTTTGTGTTGTGCTCCTGAACTCACTGCTGAGATTGTGTTGTGTTGCTGGAGTTCGCTTCCTGGGTAGAGTTGGTTTGTGCGTTCCTTCTTGAGCGAAAGCTTTGCTGCATATGACGAACTATATGATGTTTAAGGAGTATATCTTTCAAGTCATGGGCCATAAGGACGAAGGCATCAACGTCTGTAACTGCTTGAATAGTTTTGGTTGAGATAGGAAGGTCGGATGTGTAGGGATAAGCATTAAACCAATCCACAAGTTCTTCTCCCCAGCAGTCACCATCTTTTAGATGCTCATTTCTGTGATTGCGACCATTAGTCCTCGAAGTGTAGGTCCATAGCTTGCCTTGCACCACCAAGATCATCTCATCAATTGGATCTCCCTCTCGGATAATGCGAGTGCGCTGACCAAAGAAAACTGGCTTTACACAATCACATAGATCCTGCATTTCTGCTTCACTCAAATTTCCAAATTGTGTCACCTATTCATATACATACAGGAACGAGAATGAGAACTGAGTGACAACATTATATCAATATAATAGGTCCTCTCATATGAAATTTGGATTTTTTCATTTACTTTTTTTATCAAGTGGAATGTGGGGATTCGAAATTTAGACATTTACCTCTAATGCTATGTTAAGTTGTCATTCCATTTAAAAGTTTAAGTTAATAGGTAAGGGTTCAACATTATATTAGTCTAATAATACTCGTGTACTCTTAGTAGTCCCACAAAGTCAAAGAAACTCACTTTTTCGAGCAGATCTACACAGAGTTCTTGATTCAATTTTCTTTGGAGGTTCTTGGGAAGACCATTGAAAACATTTTCTATATTTACACCTTCGGTTTTCCGCGACAGAACATTCTCGCAATGGTAATTCTTCACCTGAGATTGTAGATCCTCATTTAGTCTTTTGAAAGGCATCCACTGCTCTGTCTCTCGCGACTTCTGTCTCATCTTGGCAAATCCTTTAGTGTCAGCTTGCAGACATAACTGTTTCACGATGTGTACAGTCGGATAGAAATCCAAGTTCTCATTTATTGCTTCATTCAATGATAAAATTACGGATACTAACCTGCAATTTACCAACGAGGAAGAAAAACAACACCACTCCAGTAAAGATAATAGCAATTGCAAATAGGATTCCCCAGATTGAAGAAATTGCTCCGATGCTCTGACCAAAACTACTGCAAAAATTTGAATTCAAATATATTTATTAGATATTAGTGAAATAAATTATTGTATTACATTTACTTAATATGCACTATAGAATTATTCGCTAATGCATATGAATCGTGTTTATTTGTATTAATTAATGGTTTACAATCACCTATAAGTAAACAGTAAAATACGAAATTTCAATAAAACTTTCTCATTTTGAAAATTAGAAAAATTTATCTTTTATAATTCAATCGGTGCCATTAAATGGAAGACAAAATCTTTCAATATAGAATTTTCAACATACTATATATTCATACATCTGAAACTATATAAAAATGAAAATTAGATTTGCACAGGGAACGTATATATTAATCATAAAATGCTTGTTACTATAGAATGGATAAAATCATAGTACGAATATGCACAAACCTGATATTTTGCAGGCCCCATTTGAAACAAAATAACATCCTCGTAATAATATCTGTCCCCACCAGCAGCATTCCAGAACGATGGGCATCAAGGAATGTTCCAAAATCATATTTCGTGGTATTTCTAGAGCAAGAATTGTTTAGCAATTTTATGTGTTCCAAACTTTTATTGCAAGAGAAAATAACAGTACTGCATCCAGTATGATTTCCGCAGGCTTCCTTCCAGCATTCTGTCTCTGCGATTATGGCTCCGTTATACCACAAGCCTCCGTATAACTAAAACGCAAGCAAGTCCAAGGTTGATCAATATATACACACAGTAGAGAAATAATTATTTGTCTAATCTATGAAATTGAACTTACATGACCGGCCATCACGTATAACATGAAGAACATAAAGGACCACCGAACGAATGTTTCTCTGCCCCCCCATATTCTCCTCAATTTAGACATTACTTGAAAGAATCTTGGCATACGCTGCAGTATTAGAACAATTTGTGCAATCCAAATTGTCCAGACACTCATTCTTTTAGAAATAATAACTATCACCATCACCTAGACAGTTTGGAGTCCATAAGGGAAATGAAATTATATATATGTTGGAAAATTTTATTATAAACAAAGTTTAAAAAATTTAAATTGTTGATCATGACTACCTTAATTATGTATAGCAAATGTACTAAATTAACTTCCCAAACTAACACTGTAGAGTGGACAAGAATTAATGTATCAGTAATCTGTAGAGGGTTGATCAAACACCAAAAAGGGGATCTTTTACGTAGTGATTATATTACTAGCGACAGGGTGTGATTACGGTGACGTCTCCCTTAGCTCACACAGTCAAACATTTATAGAAATTAACTATCACTCATGATCTTTGTTGAGCGAGAGAGATGAGAGAATAAATTAGTGTTCTCATCTTACTAAATGTGACCATAACTTAAATCATCTCCTGTTATTTTTCTCTTATTTTCTAATATTACTTAGATGTTCTGTTTGTCAAGTCAAAGGGTTTGTTCTTGAGCTTTATTTTTCGCTGCATAATTTGACTATAAATTGGTATTTTTGTATGTCAATCTTACAAAATAATGAAATATACAAGAAACTATAGAAACCTGAAAAAAATAAAGCAATGCGCTTTAGGCTAGAAGTCTTATCGATCTTTACAGCAAAAGTTTCTTAATATATTTGGAAAGTGCGTAAAAACAAATTGGAAAATATATGAGGACAGAAAGAAAATGTTGCTGTAAATTAAAGTGTGTGTAGGCCTTACCTGGGGGACAGGAAGAAGGATGAGAATGTTAATGAACAAGCAACACATGTTTCCTGCATCTCTTTGTAAATTATTACACAGTTTGAAGAGATGACGTCTATAGAAGAAGAAATGTAAGATATCAACTATGGTAATGAGAACACAAGCGTAATATGCAGCGAACCGGTCAACTACGATGCACTTTTTTTCATCACTCATCTCCAGAATGTAGTATAGCCAAGGATTCCAAAACTGGCCATTTAAAAGAGACACAATACAAAACTCCAAGGAAACCAATCCTTCGACATAATTGAGATAACGAGTAACTCCTTGAATTTCAACAGCAGAACGTTGATTAAGTTCGCTTCATCATTTCTATGTTCT